TTTTTGTGTCACTTTTTATTTTAGAGCCAAAGAAAAGTATACTCGTACGGAAGTGCACAAATATACACAAAATGTTATAAAGCACAATACGTAATTGTTGAGGTTGAAATGACATTGTGCGAGAGGTTTAACAATGTGTTAGAGCGGACACGGTAGCTCAATTGGTTAGAGCAACAACACGGAGCGCTGTGGAAGTCGGTTTAAGTCGTGTCTGTGTTATCGAATTTGAAAATATCTCTTTTTTACTTATCGATTTCTACATGCAGGTAGTTAATAACGCTCAGCGCAACCGCAACCAATTAATTAAAATAAAGCACTTTAACGATTTAAAACGCGATATATTAGTTAAACTTATTTGAAAAATGATTTTGAAAAGTCGGGTCGAAGTTAAAAATCATTCTTCCAATAAATTTAACTAATATATCGCGTTTTAAATCGTTAAAGCGCTTTATTTAAATGTGGGATAAACTTCCGAAAAGCGCATACCGCCGATCGATCTGAAATTTGGTATACTTATGTATTTTGACCTCCTAATCACGAATATCATGATCACTGAACGAAAAGAGGTTTTTTTCGATTTTCATATTCAAAATGGCGTTTGCGCCAATTTTCGTTGATTAGGTGGTCAAAATACATAAGTATACCAAATTTCAGATCGATCGGCGCGTATGCGCTTTTCGGAAGTACACCCTAAATGTGTACTACTCGCGTAAACTACAGACAGTATTTACGCAACCAATTAGTTTTGCCAAGATTTACACGACATCTTTTATGGCGGTGTTCTATGGTAGACAACATTTTTATCTTTTATATGTATATGTATTACAATAGTTTATATAATACAACAATATATATAACAACAAAGTATTTTTGAAGCGGTTTTATTTAGCTCGACCCGTACAGAATTTATTTATTTGGGTCGTAATTAGAAATAATAGAAAATTAGGCACCCTCCCGTAGTCAAATTGATCTGAAATTTGGTACAGACATTTAATTTAGATAACAAACATATAATAAAATCAACATAAACTTGGCCGCCGATACAAAATGGCGGATTACATGGTTTTCCTTAACCTCCTTAATATGGGTATCAAATGACAAGGCTACGCTAGTAAAACACGATGATAATGTCAAAAAAATTGTTGTTGTAGTTTTCATTAAATTAAAAATAAAACCGTTTAACTTAAAAGTTTTTTTACCGATTTTTATTCACTAAACAACTTTCTATCTGCAAGTCAGTTCAAAATTACGTCTTTGGTCGGCCATATTGCGATATTTACGAAATTACAACGACATACTTTTTTTAAAAGAAATACATATATTTAAGTATGTAAGATTACCTCTCTCTCTCTCTCTCTCTTACCTCTCCATCTAGATTCACCATATCTACATTATGTTAAATAGCTACGTATAAAATTTAGATCTTATATTTCATATTTGGCAGATAATATTACACGAGTAGATAGAACAAGACAAACTTGGACATCGTCTAAACCATTATAAGTTTGAAATCTTAACACAAAGTCTCTTTTCGTATCGTATTACGAATAAACTAAGCTCGTATTACGAAGCTTTTAATAATCTACAAATAAATAAGCAGCAAAGTTTCAAAACTACCCTACGACGTCGCTGGAAAGTGCAAAGAAAAGAAACTTTAAGGAATATTTTAAATAATTTATGCTTGAAATAAAGAGGTTTCAATGAAGCAATTTCAATATATTTTGATTATTATCCTGATTCTGCGAATAAAAAGACTTTTGGCGTGTTTCAGCTTTAGTATCGACAAATAATAACCTTGTATATGTTAAACTTATTTTAAAATTAATAAACTTTTAATCCCAAAAAACAGCGTAAGACACCGTTTTAGCCAGTTTCGCTAAATACCAATTTCGACGGAACAGATGGCGCAGTTTTTGCTTCGACGTTAGGGACACCCTCCATCTTTAATATCCCCGTGACCACGGCTGCAAAGCACCTGAAACGTCGGACTGTAGTTAAAATTATTTTCAAATTTAAGTAATAAATATCGCATTTTATACCGTTAAAGTTTTTTTAATAAAATGTGTACTACTGGCGCCAGCTACAGACAGTATTTCATTTTTAATAAAATAATTATAAATGAGCATCTTCAAAAGTCTCAGTAATCGAATTATATACATAAAGACTTACTGTTATTTAATTATATATTTAAAGCTTACTATCTTTGCCGCTGTAGTGAAAAAGTTTATTTTTAACATCATTAGAATGAAATATTTTCAAATTAAAATTAATTAGGAAGCGTTCTTCAAAAAATCTTTTCATTTATTGATTACGAGTGACAGCTTGTACCAAATTAAGCCGGTCAAGGTGAGAACAATTCTTTTTAATTGCTGTCCATTAATCTCTTGTGTATAAGATGTCTTTTTGGGTATCTCTTCAAAAAAATGTGTGTTAGTGTCGACTGAAATATATAAAGAAGTAAAATTCAATTTTCCTTCGGAAGGCTTAGGCAAAATCTGCATTCTACAATAAAACTTTCTGGTTTCTAGAACAATGAAATTGCTACTTATTAACACAAATAAAACCGTTTTTTCTGAGATTTCAACCCAGTATTACTCGTAGTTAACGTAGGAGGAGACATGCTGTTTGTAATAATATATTACATTTAAGCTCTCAACTTTTATCTTCTTATAATGAGAGCTGTTAAGTCTCCCTAATATTATACAAATAAAGTTAAAATAAAAATAATCTTATAACATTTTTTCAACAGACATACTATGTAGAATTTTAGGAACCAGTTTACACAAAACAATTTTTGTACGCATTTAAATAAAACACTTTTGATGGTTCAAAACGATATATGAATTAGTTAAACTTATTTATAACATATTTGCTTGTAAAGTGGTTGTAATAACACCAATTTCAATATCGTAATGTATCTTATTACGTACTTGTGCGATAATGTAATGTAAAAGGCACGTGTTTTTTTAAAATAAAGTTTTAAGATACTCCGTCTAAAAATGAACGATACTTTTAAAAATCTTAGCAAAGAGGTTTTATGTCAAGAAAGTGGTCAATATTTTATGAACAAACCTTTGGGAAATAAAATATAACAAAGAAACATTTAATTCTTTAATTGAATTAATTTTGACAATAAATTACATGACCATTTATCTGTAACAAAAACTCAAAAATATTAATTTACCCTTTTTGTAATACTCGCGAAAAAAACGCATGCTCTTATTTGTGGACAAGTAAAAATAATTCCGCGCGCTTTTTCTTTTCGCTGTATTGTTTTTATTTGAAAATGTCGTCAAGTAGTGATGAATTTATTAATTTCCTCGTAAATATGTTATAAAATATCGTATGACATACGTGCGCTTTGAAAATTACAACCTCTGCTTTCTTATAGCCCTCGCCGATGGCTGTAATTTTCAACTTACCGTACTTATATCATAATGTACTATTACAAATTATTTTGATTACGGCCGACGTTTCCGATGTTTCCAACCACCGGGTCAGGGGATCCAGTTAAAATAAGTTTTAAGGTTGAACTAATATTTCACGTTTTAAACCGTTAAAAGTGTTAAATAAAAAAATTTATTAATAATCAAATCGTATATTAGTCCCAACTGTGTTTTAAAATCGTTTCAAAATCAAAAGATTTTTTTATCAAGAAACATCTTAAAACGCTTTTACTGTATAAATGGAGCTAGGAATGGAAAAATTGGGAAATACGTCAAGGGAATACAAACTAATTATTTATATAGGACAGTTCGCTCGGTAATTTGATGATACCGTATTTGCACGCGGGAACAGTAATGGTTCGTTTTTAGGGAAATACTGAAACTGAAATAACATTATTCCTTTATTGAGATAAAAAGGTTAGGATCAAATAAAGATAGTAGCTACTTTTCTAACTTTCCACTATTTTAGATACTGCCACGGAAATGAAGAGTACCGAAGTCACAAAGCGACCTCCTCTTTCATCTAGGATATCAGCTGGTAAGTATTGAGTCACCATTCATTTTAAATTTAAGCTAAATGTGGCTGCAGCTGCACGAGAATCGTATATTGCATTAAAATCTTGATAACAGTATATATTATAGTTAAGTATAGGAAGATACATTTTTAAAGTAAATAAAAAAGAAAAGCAAAAATTCGATTCGGCTTAAAAAACATTACTTAAATTTCGATTTAAACTGTTGACGTCTGTTGAAATTTGAAGAAAGAATATACTTAAGAAATTATAAAATAATACTGAATTAATTATTTACAAATAAGAGTTAGAACAATAACGACCTTATCGCCTATGGCGATTTCTTTTAGACGACCTATGTATACAGAAAAGGAAAATAAATTAACAATAAAAGAGTCAAATTTATTAATAAAAATAGAATAATACTAAATTAATTATTTACATTAAAGAGTTAGTACAATGACGGCCTTATCGTCTATGGCGATTTTTCCTAGACAACCTTTGTATACAGAAAAGGAAAACAAATCAACAATGAAAGAGTATCAGAATTTTTTTTTCAATCTAAAATCGGCAATTGATCGTTTATCTTAATCACAAAGCTTGTAACTTTTAATGTATGTTACTTACATGTAAATTGCTGTATATAGAAAAATAGTACATATTATCTGTAACAAATTTTTCACAACGGGTTAAGATGTTTAGTCGTGGAAGAATAATCCCTAACCAATATAAATCATAGCATTTATAGTTATTTAAATAAAACACTTTATACTAGAGAGCTATACAATACTATCAGTTAAACAGTTTTTTATCTTTAACTACGGCCCGACGTTTCGGATGCTTTGCAGCAGCCGTCGTCGAGGGGAGATTACGGTTAAACATAATTTTCTAATAAGTTTATGAATATCCCGTTTTAAACCGTTAAAGTGTTTTATTTAAATGTATACTACTCGCGTGAACTACAGGCAGTATTTACATTTATAGTTTTAGGAGGATTGGGGATGAACTTTTTCTATTATTTATCAAACCGCAGATATTGAATATGGCTAATGTATTCCAAGTTTCAGAATGGAGTGGAGCAACTGGTGGTCCACCAGCAGAAGTTATACTCCGTCTCCATCCAACACCTGTCACAACCACATATCCTGTCCTGCAGCGCGGCAACCTATCTATCACTGAATTGGGTAATAACACATTCTAATATTTGAATATAACACTCTAAACGGTTTAAAATGCTAAATGATAACTTATTTTAACTACGACTCGATGTTTCTGATGCTGAGTCCTTACAGAAAGGACTCAGGTAGTTTTTCCAAATACTACTACGAGAAAACAGATGGGCTAGCGTAGCAAGATTTAACATTAGGGGATATCCTCCATCTTCAGTCTCCCCCTTCGCCACGGCTGCTGCAAAGCATCCGAACGGTCGGGCGTTCCTTTTCAATTGTTTATTTAAATGTGTAGGTACTACTCGCGTAAACTACTAAACAAAATTTTTCCTCCAGATGGTAGCGCTATAGTAGTCCGTGCTGAAGAAGCACTTATAGTGGCGTTTGTGCTACTACTTTGGGTAGCAGCTATCGCATTATTCTTCAACCGCTGGGGCAAGATCAGGTGCGTCTATAAGCTGTACGTAGTTATTTCTTCTGCTTCTTTATCTGCATGTCACATAAATAAAAAATGCTTATTGTTCATATATAATACAGATAATAACTTTTTTATATTCTTGATAGAAAATGTTACACAGCTATCATAACTTTTTGACCAGGCTGAAGTTAGCGCGTATGGTTGCGCAGAACGCAAATAGCGGGTACTTTTGCTTAACCTTGACAATACCATGCGCAAGATGGCGGTCGCGCTCACTTCAGCCTGGCCAAAAAGTTTAGAGAGAACTGTACAATATTATCACTTTTATCATAGAATGAGAAATCAATAGGTTCTCTTTCTAACCCCTAAAGCCATATTAGTATGTGCTGTGATTACTGGTACATTCGAGGTTTCATCATGAGAAACGTCGAGACCAACATCTCTTTACAAAAAGGCCGCGAATGTCTTGAATAATTTATGGGGCCATAATGTTTTTGATAATTTCCATGTCTTTCCAGAATGCTAGAACCATATCAACCTAAATTCCAACAGCAACACCGTCAAAGCTGTGTGTTAGCTGAGAACAGTGTCTCCGTTCCGCCACTTGTAAGAGTTTCAAAATGTAGTCTTAGATACTAAATTACTATTACACTGAATGCTAAAAATATGTTACATTTTATTTAAAACACTGTACAATGTCAACTTGTATTATTTTTATAAAACACTTTAACGGTTTAAAACGTGATATATATTTGAAAATTCGCTATTACATTACATACGTCGGGCCGTAGTTAAAAATAAATTTCAAATAAGTTTTACATATATAAATCGCGTTTTAAACCGTTAAAATGTTTTATTTAAATGTGTACTACTCGCGTAAACTACAAACAGTATTTAGCGTGTATTAAATAAGAGAAAATAAATGATTTTTCACACATGAATAAACACTGAACACTTAATTAATTTGCATGCACTACGAACACCTTAATATTTCATATGCGATCAAAATATATGAATTAATTTGATCATTATTTAGACTGAATTGACGCGATAGCTAAATTGCTTAGAGCAACAGCACGGGACGCTGACGATGCCGGTTCGTGTCCCGCCCGTTTCGTTTTTTTTTTAATTTAACATTTTTTTAAATACAAGACTAACCACAGATAAAACCACACACCACAGTATTCTGTTCTGCTGCAGTATTAGTACTTATTTGTAAGCGATTATAAAAAAAAAACTACTTTATAATTTAATAGTAATCTAAAGTTCCTTATTACTGCGACCATGTAGTTAGTTTCCCTCCAAATAGTGAGAACGTAAATCAATATTCACACAAAGCAACATTAGCAACAGATGGTCAGTTTCCAGAGTTTTCCATTAGTTTTAATGCCCTGAATTTAATCTCGCATACAAAATATTAATTGAACTTTAAAAGGTTTATAAATGATGTTGAAATTAAATCTTTTCTGCTTAAGCTCTGTTATGACAGTTTTTGGACACTTGTTTTCCTGTGAAAGGTCGTCGAGTTTCGTGTGAAGGAACAAGACTCCTTTTTTTATTTAGAATAAGACATTTTTCTATTGGTTCGAATCAATTATTTTTTTGGCTTAAATCGCTATTAAATAACGACTATAGTATAATATAATGGATTCATTTAAAGTAATTTTTTATTTAACATTAATAATGTTTAAATAAAAAATTATTACAATAGAAAATTGTAAACTTTTTTACAATTTTGTATTTTCCCTTTTCTTTGCATACCTGTGGTTCAATGTCTTTATTAAGACTGTTTAATCTAATTGTGGAATTGCCCTCTTTCCATAGCCTTCTCTTTTTTGGGCTCAGCGTTTTTTGGCTCAGCGTTGTCATAACTTTCCATGGTTAGATGTTAAAATAGTCTTGTTTACAGCACAGAGCATCTCTGTCAAGAGGTTGTGTATCATACGATTGTGGAGGGACATTCTCTGCTTATCAGCCATGTGGATATCTTTCGCACCGTCCAAGACAAGTAAGTTACAACAAGAATTTGTAAATTGGAACATTGGAAAGATTAAAGGAGGATTTGATACGTCAGGACTATATTATAAAATTGGAAGATTTTAATTTTTAAGATATCTTTAATTCTTTTCAATGGTTGCTTAGTACAAATCTTCATTAATGAAGGCGCCTTTGTAAAAATTTGTTAGTGTATTTTTCGTATATGATATTTTCAAAGTCTTGTGGATTCTATCCCCACCGACCAAGTGTTCATCAAATTATAATTTTTCTGAAACGTTTGGGCGGTAAGAATATTGAAATTAGCCGGCTTCAACCACCATTTAAATGGAAACCGTATTTAAATTTTATTTTTTGTGCCTTTCCGAACATCGAAAGCCAAACAGATCAATTCATTGTCTATTTGTTTGTTTGTTATCTGGAACTTATATTTCACTTCTAGTGTACCTCATTTGACGTCCTCTATCAAAATCTTACTCAAATAAAAAATATATTAATATCAGTTTATATGTTTTTTAGCATTGCATTCATTGTAACCGTGGCTATTTGAATAAACAGTTTGTTTTTGACTTAACAACATGGCGTATCCTTAAAAATGGAAAAAGAACTCTGTAGCATAATCTTCTTTCCAGAATTCCGTCTTTGTTGGTAGCATGGCGCTAATACCAGAAAGCCCACCACGTAGATCGCGTTCCGCAGCCGACCTACCAGCTCTAACCACTCCATCCGACCACGTTCCTACCACATCGAGATCATCTCGAGCTGCTAGCCTCCACACCGTGGATCTAAGAGTTTGCGCTCCTTCCCCACGAGCATCGAGAGCGGCAAGTCTTCACTCGACCCTGGATATACCCACAGTCCAAGTTCACGTCCGAGGATCTAATGCTAATATAAATAGACCCAGGAGTCCTAGAAGATTGACCATTACAAATGTCTAATAAGTTAAAACTTATTATAGTGAATTAATAATTTAAATAAGTTTTAAAAGTGGGAAAACTTAATTACGATTAAAGAGTTTTCTCGATTTCAGATATACATTTTCATAGCAATGGAATATCTATTCAATAACTGGCGAGACGCGAGTCGGCCTCACGCACAATGGGTTCCGTAACATTTAAGTAGTTACACGTAGTGGTAACATGAAGCTGGAGCCTTTCTTCCATGTCTTATGGTAACAATGTATGGCTAATAATCAACGGGTCGTAGCTTCTATTCTTACCGGGTCCAATATGTTTCTTGTTTACTTCGTCTGAAAATCCTGCATATAAAATGGATGGTAGTAATATCGAAATTCTATTCGGGTCATGAACCACCACCACAGATGAAACTGAAGTTAAAATGTTTCGAATTCAGTGTGTGGATTTCCGAAAATCCAAAACCGAAGTAGGGCGACAGCGTATCTTGCCAAGACGCTTTATTGCTGGGATACCTTCCATCGAGTGAACTTCATTCTTGTCTCCTCCATAAAAAAGAATTTCAAGTGGTTTCCTGTTGCCATTATGGAGGCCAGATTTTTTTAAATTTTATTATTTGTTGTAATAGTAACAACATATAATCAGACATGACAAACTATTTTGTAAATTAATAGATTATACAGATATATATAGAAGATTAAGAATTAACTATTATAAATGTCTCTATAATCTGTAAAATGTTAACTCTCTAACTATCCCGGCTCTTTAGATACATTATAGGGTTTCTCGTTACCCAATTGCTACGGAACCCTAAAAACGAATATTCTAAAATCTTTTGTACCAATCGAAATTTGTAATGGACCAAACTCTCAAGTTCGATACTTGTATCGCAAATACTATAAAATAAAAACTACTGTGAATAAAAGCTTTATTTTGTATAGTAACTTGAACTATTTTTAAGATAATATTTATACATGTAGGCTCTCCTTTCAATTTTCAAGTAGACTAGATCTCTATATCTCTCCTCATATCTTTAACACTAGTACTTCTTATCTAATAAATATGTGTATATGTATTATATATACCACCAAGGAGTTGGTGTATTCACTGTGACACTTGTCACTATATGAATCTAGCTGATCAGCCAAAAACGACTAAAACTACAGTTAATATAATATATATATTACAATAATAAACTTTTACCTACTGTTTCGCTTATGTCCTTCTTCAATCTTTACCAGTTAACTTAACAAACTCTCTACGGAATACTATTGACGGCTTCTATAACTGAATTTTTAAACGCGATACCTATTGCGCCAATCACCATAGATCCTGGATTCGAATCCCCGGAAGCAATCATTGTTTCAGTTGGGCTGGGGACAGAAAGCTGATCAACCACTTGGCAGTAAATCGATAAATGAAACGAATACAGTACTTCGTTTGTCCTACGACCTCCAGAAAAAAACGGAATTTCACGTTTCATAGCTGAATAAATATTAAAAACACTTCTAAAAGTTCCTTAAGATACTTCAATGGCTATCTTTGGCTACATTTTCGAATCTACCCTCAATTTATCTCCAAAACTATCGATACATTCCCAAAATAATGCCAATAAGACGATACAGATGTAAGCAATTAGAGACGTGGGCGCGATACGCGATAAGACCTTTTATGTAGCAAGTGTGACTAATGGGCGAAACGTTTTAGTGTCGGATTCACATTACTTCTACGAATTGTAGAGGAATTGTTTATCTATACTAATATATAATACTGAAGAGTTTTGTTTGTACGTTTGAACGCTAGTCTCAGAAACTACTGGTTGGTTAGAGTATTTATCGAGTTAAGTGTATTTTTTAAGATTAACTTGCAAGAATGACGGGACGCGTCCACGTGGTAATATCTTAAATTTATAAAGATGAAAAAATAGGTTTGCAAAAACCAATTTGGATGCCAAAATTACAATTTGACGCGGTCGAAGTCGCCAACACAGCTAGTCTAGAATATTCTCTCGTAAGGGGTACGTTGATAAAATCAATCACAGAAGTGACACGTACGTGGTCTTTCGAGACTCATCTGTATTAGGTTAATAAATCTTATAATGGCATTTAATAGGCAACCAAATTATCTTTAGCAAATTGCGAATTTTTGTTTAACATTTCGTGAGTAATTTTTCTTTGGAAAAATACGCAAACAACATAGATAAAGTTAATTAAATTAAGCTCAAAAACTAAATCAATTGCTTGAAACTTTTGATCAATTATAATCACGGCCAGCAAAAAAACATACACCTCTTTTGTTTAATAAACGAATTCTTGTATTTGCAAACAGTGGAAGTGTCGTTATTAGACAGCTTCACAAATTTGTCACTTGAGGCGCTAGTTAGAATCTTTGCTTCACCAATCAAAATATGTATATCTAATCCCAGTTAATAATCTGAAGTTATATTGTCATTAAGTAATATTAGTTACTTAGTACAGTGTATTTTATATACAATAAAACAGTCTTAATGAAAACACTTTAACAGTTTAAAACACGATATTAGTTAATCTTATTTGAGAATTATTACTACGACCCGACATTATATATCTGTAACTAATATATATCGCGATTAAACCGTTAGTGTTTTATTTAAATGTCTACTGCTCGCGTTAACTACAGACAGTAATAAATAAAACACTCGTCCATTTTGTTAAAAATAATTTCTATTTAAATTTTGTACTCTTTCTCTCTTATTAGCCTTACCTGATTCGTCCCCTAGTAAATTGACTACGCACTATTTTTTGTTGCACAAGGCAAATTTATGATATTATATGGTAAAATAAAGCCATATAATTTATATATATGTCACAATTCTCATTGACTTGCTTTACAAATTATAGTGCGTCAATTAATATTATTTTTATCCTACTATGTATTTTAGTAATAATTAAAATTGTATATAGCTAATATTATATTCGTATTTAAGATAGTTTAAGAGAAGAATAAAGACATGTACAGTAAAAAGAATTCTTATTTTACGATATGGCCTGAATACTTTTAAGAGGAACAAGTGGGTACAACTCAGTTGTGTCCCAAGACCTTTTGTAATAATAATACTAAAACCTAATAAATACCGAAGAGAATCATATATAATCTATTTTATGAAACAAATAACTACTGCTACATACTTTTTCTATTCTAAGACGGCTTGTTTTTAATACTATTCATATTAATATCATGAAATAAGGAAGTTATTTTTACGGAAAACCTCACTTCAAGTTACATACAGAAGTGCAAATCTATTAACTAACAAATAGTTTTTCAGTTAAATCCTTTTCATGTATCATGAATAAAAAACACAGATTATATTTACGGTATAAATGCAAATGCCGACGTCAGGCTAGTGTTTTTTTTTTACGAGAGATATCTACCTAACCGAAAAGAAAATAGGCGAGAGACTAGAACCATTAATCCACTAAACACCCACCAACAACAGCCCACTTGGCTGGTAAAAAACCATGGATTATTTTTTAGGAACATCAATAAATTTACGAACAGTATAAATATAATAAAGTTTTTCAAATAAGAGTATATAATTTACATGTAATAAAATTTTAAAATATCATATTTTACATATGTATTTTTTACAAGCTTAGGACCGCCTCTATAGCCTAATGGTTCGAATGGCAGGGCGCAGTCTGATCAACTGAAAAAAAAAAGATAATTAAAACGCATACAGAAAGTGTTAGCGCCATGCCCCACGGGGAGAAACGGGATGTCACAAAATAAATTGTGTAACGGTTTCACGGCCATCGTTCAGTATATCATTGTTTTTCGGGCCTCCGGACGATGAGAACCTCTTCACGCGGCAGAACAGCCCGAAAAACAATGATATGCTGGTATTTCAAATTTTTATTACTAAGTCAGGATATCAATAAAAACTTAGAACTCAAAAAAGGCGTTTCATTCTTCACATACATCAAACCGAATGATTGATGCGCCTAAGTTAGAACTTAGTCGTAGAAAAAGTCCTTATTGGAATCTACTTATTTTTCAGGTCATGTGCGAGATCTTGGTAGTCCTTAATAAATTCCTACCCACCAGTCACGTCTGCGAAATTTCTTCGTGTCTAAATAATGCGTATATTAAAGCTAAAAGAGATCTAATGCCTTCATAAACGCGTTTTAACGATTTAAAAAGGCTAAATATATTAGGCAATAATAATAATAAAAATAAAGACTTCATTTACATAATTACAAGTGAATAAGTTTTAGAACATGGAACATTTTTAATATATATAAAAAGATATATATAGTGCAAAGTATGTTTGCATCGCGTCGCAGATGACCTCCGCCATGTAGAATATTTCAGGATTTTAGATCTACGAAATATATATACATTTTTTACTTTCTGATGTCTGATATCCAAAAGACCAACCGATTACTAAAAAAATGTATTCTCAACACCATCATATTGTGATCTTCCATTAATTGTTGTACGTCTGTACGCTGCAGCACCTTCTTATACGTAAGTTATCATTTTATTTATATCAAGAAATGTTAATCATCTACATAATAAAGTGTTTTATTTAATGTAACCTAAGATACAGCAAAGCTTTTTAAACTTATCTTATAAAACAACAATTTCTATTAAACAGTAGCATTTCTCATAAGTTACAGCAATCGGTGAGCCCTTTTCAAATGTACATAAAGGAATATAGTTCCTGTTTTATACCGTTAGAAGTCTGCTATTCAAAAGTTCTCTCGACTCGTTATTGAGTCGACGGAACGCTGAAAACCCCTCTTCCGATCAAATTCTTTAAGAGCAATTAAGCCTTTAATTCCGTTTTAGAATCTAGATTGAGTTTCTTTTGAATAAAACAATGTTGCAAGAACGAATTTTAAATTGGATTGAATTTTAAGGACTATTGTTATTTTTGTAATACAATTTCGGTTCTTGCTAGTTAATATTAAATAAAGACTTATACGGCATTATTACAAAAAAATACTTAAACCAGAACTGCGGAGTCGTGGTTTAACTTTTAA